AACCATACATTGATATTTCTCTCCCTCTCTCCTTCCCTTCCCCTCTAAAGATAAATAAACAAAATCTTAAAATAATAATAATAATAATAATTATTATTATTATTATATACAATGACCAAGTGGAATTCATCACAGGAATGCAAGGCTGGTCCAATATCTAAAAATCAATTAATGTAATACCATCATATCAACAGAATAAAAATCACAGTCACCTCAAAAGATGCACACAAAGAAATGCACTTGACAAAATCAACACCCTTTGAACAGACTAGGAGTGAAAAAGAACATCTTCAACCTGATAAAAGGTATCTTAAAAATCCACAGCTAATATCCACACAGTGCTTTCTTCATACGCGGCACATTTCTTTTGGCATTTCAGTTGTGTTTTTACTTTTTGAAATAATAAAGCATAATATGCCGAAAATGTTACATATTTTCTTCCATCTTCAGTATTAAAATGGCTGCACAAAAATTCGCTAATTTTGATAACTTTTTTAAATGCAGGCTGATATGACAGCTGTCACAACGCAATCTAACAAAATTGTTTCAAATGAAATTAAAGACAACTAAGCATTACTAGAGCCATCCTAGGAAATAAACCAAACAAACTTTTCCAGTGAACCCAATATTTTCCAGTTAACACCCTTGCTGCTTCTTAAGGTTTTTACTTTTTTAAACTACTCAATGAAATGAACAGCTTCTCTTTGTCGGGGCAGCCGTCCTAGAGATGTGAAAGATAATTTATTTAGCTGTCAGCACTCAAACAATTCTGGGCTTTTGGCCTCAAGCTGTGACCTGAGAACCAGGTGAAGAGGGTCTTTAAAAACTAGCCACATTTTGGATGAAAAGCTGCTGGGTGGTAAGGCGCACTTAGGTTTTAAGGGACCTTCACAAAACAAAGTCGCATGATAAAAAAAATTTTTTTAATTGGCCTTGGCTGGTGTAGCTAAGTGGATTGAGGGCAGGCCTGTGAATCAAAGGATCACGGTTTGATTCCCAGTCAGGGCGCATGCTTGGGTTGCAGGCCAATTCCCAGCAGGGAATGCATGAGAGGCAACCATACATTGGTATTTCTCTCCCTCATTCCTTCCCTTCCCATCTAAAGATAAATAAAATGGAGCAACAAAAATCTTCTGTTAAAAAAGATTTTATTTATTTATTTTTAGAGAAAGAGGAAGGGAAGGAGAAAGAGAGGGAGAGAAACTTCAATGTGAGGTTGCCTCTCGTTTGTCCCCATCTAGGAACCTGGCCCGCAATCCAGGCATGTGCCCTGACTGGGAATTGAACTGGCGACCCTTTGGTTCCCAGGTGGGCACTCAATCCACTGAACCACACCAGCCAGGGAAACAAAAATCTTTTAAATATTGATTTGTTCATCTGAAGTATTGGGAGTCAAGAAGAGGTTCTGCCATTCACCAACAAACTATTCTATTCAGGCTCTCTTCCACTCCAACCAGATGAACTAGTTTTCCCCACGTTAACTTTACCCTGTCTGATCCACAAACCTTTACGCAGGTAAGTGATCAAGCCTACAGTGTCTGTAAACCACGCAAGACTCCCTCCTGTCAAACTGTCTCTAAGACTCCAGTCCTCAAAGTCTGCTAAATAACTCCTGGGAGTGCTCGTCCACAGATCTGCCACTTTTCATCCTTCCTATTTCACACGCCGGCCTCCGGAGAGCGGAAGACAGCTGCGCACACGTCTGCTGTGAGCACTGCCCCACCTGCTCCACGGACTGCACCTCATTTAAAGCGCAGCCCTGCGCCTGGAGATGAGGACTGCCGCCTTCCCCAGGCTCAGAATTCAGTTTCTCATCAGAAAAACTCACCCAACATAAAAAATTGAAGTACGTCTTCCTTGATATATACTTTGGCAGCTGATGAATATGAGACTGGAGCTGACACTCCCACGGAATGAAAACACATGCTAATTTGTGTTACTTTGAGATAAGTAAATGCTACCTTCCTTGAATACAAAGCAAAATGACTGAACACCTTTCATTATATTTTTCATGCACTTCTCACATGTAATAATGAAGCCCTTTGGTTAATTAACTAAATCTAGAGAGCCAAATAGTACATGTTTGTTCAGAAGTTTTTGGCCTAGAGTGAACTCAGCCCAAGGTCACTGGATTAGAAATTTTACAACAGTAAGAAACTGACCTTCCTTTCCTATATCTACACAAAGAGCTCTATTCATCTCTAAGAAACCAACCAGATTAAAACTCAGGACTCCCCCAAAAGTACTTATTTTATTAATAATCCAAGCAGATTCTTTCCCTTTCTTCTTGCCTTCTCCTTTATTTACAGACCCTCTCAATGGTCTCAGGTAATTCTGGCCCAGTGAACCAATCACACCAACTTTCCAGCTGGCAGAGAGAAAAAGAAAAAGTAAAGGCATGAACAAGATTTCAGACCATCATTGTTAGTTCCCCTCTGGTGCTCTTGTTATGGCAACAGCATACTTTTCCACAGCTGACGACGCTGTTGTGCAAGGGGGGGAAAGGACAGAAAGGCTAAAGAGGTCTCTATGTTTCTGCTCATTCCCCAGAGCACAAGTCTCCCTGAAGCAGACAGTTGAGAACTTACAAAAGGAGTAAGGTAGCAGAAAGAATCACATTAGCTAGCATTCCAGAGACAGAAAAGTCTCTAAATATTTGGAAAACGTCCTTTTCTCAGTAAAATAAATGTCTTATGATAGTGAAGAAGGAAACCGGATAGGGAGAGGACACTAAATTTGAGGCTACCTGCTACTATTAAGTAGCAGTCTGACACTCACTAACAAGTTACTTAATTTCTCTGGGCTTCAGTTTCTCTCAGCTAACCCGAGTGTCATGAAAGTGAAGCCAACTATAATAACGTTATCTTCCACTGAGGCTAGGAATAGCTTCTCAAAGAACCAAAATTAAAGTAAAATCCAAGGGCTTTTTTTTTTTTTGGCCTGGAATTTATTCAACAAAAATTTCCCTCTTCCGTAATAATTAGAAAAGCAACATGAGAAACTTAAGAGGTTACAGCAAGTGTGTTTTCACCCACTTCTCGTTTCTCAAACTGCAGGAAAGCAATTTTGAGAAGCCTTTTCAAGGGTAGGCTGTATTCTCTGATTCCCAATGAATAAAGGACTAAAGGGGGAAAATCGAATGTCCTTGCCAAGTGTGATCATTTAGGGCAGGGGTATCAAACTCATTTTCACTGAGGGCCACATCAGCTTCACAGTTGCCTTCAAAGGGCCGAATGCAATGTTAGGACTGTACAAATGTAACTATCCCTTAACTAGAGGCAAGGAACTCGGCGCTGCCACTGGGTAGAAACAAGGTGCCTGGCCAGATAAAACAAGGCAGAGGGCTGGATTCAGCCTGCGGGCCCTGTGTTTGCCACCTGTGATTTAGGGCATTCAGCACATCAACTGTTACTCTGCAATGCTCTGACGTGTAAGATACTCCAAGTCCAAGACAGGAAATGCTAATTACCTTCCTTACCAGTAAATAGAGATTACCAATACAAGTCTACTGATGCATTTTTCTAAACGTTTTCAAGTCTGAAATATGTAAGCTAGCACTTTATTCAAATTTTTTGTTCTAGAACTAAAAATCTTATCCATCCTCAACATTCATCAAGAAAATGAAGACCATTCAGAGCAAGGACTGCGTTTCCTACTTGTGTCGGTGTTCCCGTCCATGCAAAGCACTGCACTGGGCCCACAAAGCTCACTCAAGACACCTAACAACATTAATTCAGTTGTCTGGGGGAAACCAAGTAACAACAAACTATCTTACTTTGGTTCTGGGAAATAAAATTACATGGGGGCAGGGGAGAGGAATGCAACAAGAGAAATGAACAAACCATGAGGGGAAAATTAAATCCTTAAGTTATTGAGGATTTAAATAGCACTGTGTTAACTGTTATAAAATAGTGGCTAAATCCAATTGCAACAGTGCTATCTTCTCTAAATACATTACGCAAGTCTTCGTGTTAAAAATCCAAAGGTTACAATGTATTCTACCAATAAATACAGGCTTAATATAATAATATATGAGCTAACATGACAAGTATTTAAATCTGAAACAAACAAACAAAAGGTGTATAAACTATCCGGAGACAGGTTAAGTGATATTTGAGAAAGCAGTGGTGTGTGTTGGGAGGAAGGATAAATGAATCTGTAGTTCTGGTAGATCTTTCTAAGCATTTTCAGAACTAATCCAGGCTATTAGACTGAACTCTATCTTTAAAGTAAAGCTTAAGGACTATGCCCATATTTTAAAAGCAGGGTAGTTTGGTTCTTTGAAATATGCCAAAAGGGTGCCCCTCTGTGTCTCTTCCCTAAGGGGAATAATGATACTATGTAGCAGCGACTTTCAATCGGTGAGCTGCAAGAACTTTTAAAGCATGCGATATGCAATACCTGACTATTTAGTTAGGGGCACTGACCTCTTTTCTCTTTTCCCTTAAATTGTCCAAAAAAAAAAAAAAAAGACAATGGCCAACACAACAATAGCCACCGGTGTGAATGAACCAAAATTATACATTTGTTGTTAGATTAGCAAAAATATCTTTAGTGTGCTGCAGAATTTTAGTAATTACTTTATGTGTGCCATGAGATGAAAAAGGTTGAAAATTGCTACTATAAAGCTCAAAGTTTAATCCCTTCCCCAAATATATAGCTCATTGCAATTGTTACTATAACATATGGTTTGAACTGTTGGAAGCACAGACATTTACTGACCACAAAGAATTCTGGAAGTTATAACTTCCTTTCCATCAATCACCTCAGAAAACAATATCCATTTCTTAAAAGCTGTCAGTTCAAGTTCAAGGCAACTCTATCTGGAGCAGATTCTGGTCTGCCAAAATCTTTCATGATTAAAAACATGCTCAGGGGCGGGCCTTGAACAGATCAGGTCAGGAGGGAAGTTTCTCCAATGAGGCAAGCCACCTCACTAAAAACTCCACTGTTCTGCAGTTCAACCTTCCTTAAACCCAACTCTCCATACACATTATGAACTTCTCCCGCCTGGGTCATTTTAAAGTCTCCCGAGCCAGCCACCCCTTCCCTAGAACGGCCTGGCTAGATTCCTCTGTGGAGCTTTCAGATTTTTATCCCTTGTTGGCAAGGAGGTCTTCTTACTCCAAGGTCCCTTGCTATTGTGCAAGGGACTCCTGGATCGCCACGGTCTAAATGCACGGGATTGGCTGCAGCACGACCGGCAAACCCAGCCCAGAGGAACGATCTAGCGACCTCGGAGAGTCCAGGGGCTGCCAGCGCAGTCCCAACCCTCTGGTGACCGGGCACCCCATCACCAAAAGAAGGCAAAGTTCCGAAGTGAAAAATGAAGCGCCGTTCCCTTCAACAAGGTCCCTCAAGATCGCCTTCCAGTCTCCACCCTCTGGAGAAGAGGCAAGTCAGAGGACACACAACCTGTGAGCTCCCTTTTCCCGTGACCAATTCAAAACTTCACCTCTACCCCAGTGTTCTTCCTCGTAAACAGTTCCTGGTCGTACTCTGAGAGCGATGCCCAGGAACGGCCCTCTGCACTGCCCCTTCCTCAAAACCAAGCAATCCTACCGACCGGGGTGTCCTTCTTGATAATGGCCTCTTCGATCTACCTCCAAACGCGCCGCTGCCAAAATCCTACCCTCAGTCTGCCGCGCTCCCCGCCCCCCCATTTCCTTCCCGTTGGCCATCGCAGGAGCTTCACTTTATCACTTTCTCCGCCAGCCTGGGGACTGCCCCCCGCCCCCCCCGCCAGGCCTCCCCCGCCCAGTAAACAATGCTGTCAAAGCAGGATAGCGCTGGGCGAGGCCTCCACACTCCGCATTCCAGCCTCCTCCTTGTGTTCTGAAAGCAGCAAAACAAGCCGTCGCAGGGTCCCACCAGCGAATTACTCTCCCCAACTTGCTTTCTAAAAAGGCCTAGGAGACAGCCCCCAAATCAAGCATTAACGTGCACAAACGCACCACAGGCAAGAAGCAGAGGTACTGCGGAGTGAGAGTAAGGCCGAGTGTAGACGGATTTGCCCGGGAGGAGGAGGGGGGAGAAAACTGGGTCGAGTGCACAAACCTGCCACGAAGCGGGAACGGGGGCCCTTTTCCCACCCCCGACAGGACGGCCACGTTTCCAGAGTGGACGCGCGCTCAACCGGGTTTCGGGCAAGAGAGAAGGCGAAGTTAAGGTTCCCGAAAGCAGTCCCGCGGGGCTTTGGCGGCGCCGGGCAGGGCTGGGTCGGGAGAGCTGGCCCCCGGGAGAGGCCTCGCGTGGACGCGCCCTAAGTTAAAGGACCGCGGCGGGAGCCTAGAGGACGCAGAGGCAGCCGGCCCGGGCTCCGGGGTGCGGACCGCACGGCGCCGGGGCCGCGGCGAGCGCTCACCTCCCGGTGTGGTGGAGAAGAGCGTCCCCCCAGGCGTGGTGCAATAGTCGTGAGGTAGCTGCGCGGCGTCGCTGATGGGAACCGTGCGGGTGGGGATGGCACGGCTCTGGCTGGGCAGGTGGCCGCTGCCGGCGGACGAGGACATGGCTCTGAGCGCAGGCTCTCGGGCTTTGTCCGGCGGGCGGGCGGCGGCGGCGGCGGCGGCGGCTGGGGGCCCGGGCTACTCCGGATCCTCCGGCGCGCGGGAGAGCAGGCGGGGCTGAGCGCGCTCCGCTCGTTCCTCTCAGGTTTCCTCGAGCTCCTTCGTCCCGCTTCGCTCCCGCCGCCGCCCTCTCATCCGCCGCCGCCGCCGCCGCCCGATCCTCCGGCCTCCGCCTGCAGCTTGAGCAGCAGCAGCAGCGGCAGCAGCGGCGACGACGACGACCGGAAGCGGGCAAAGGCGGGAGCCAGAGAGAGTTTGGAGAAGGGGCTCTACCGGAAGTGACGTTTGTGGGCGGAACCCAGCTATGAGGGGCGTGGCCTTGGGTGGGGAGGACTGTCCCTCCCCCCCTCCGCCCCACGCCGGGCACACGCTAACTGGAGGGGACTTAGGCACAGTTTTTGTGAGCCCCGCGAAGTTAGGCACAAAAAAAACTTTGCTGGTTTGTTCGTTTTTGTCCGTCAGCACTACTTTACTTGAGCCGACTTCTGCTTCCGAACCATCTAAACAAAAGTGTAGTATTACTTCTAATTGATGAATAATATAGGCAATGCATGCATGATTTATTAAAAAATCAGAGCAGAAGATTTACGGAGTCAGGGTCTCCCAGTTTCCTAATTCCCCTTTCCAGGAAGAACCACTGGTACCAGTTTATTGTGTATCCTTCTAGAGCTAACTTCTATATACACACATAATGCAATTTATAAACATTGAGAAAAGAAAGAGATTACCGGTAATCTCGCCCCCTGTCACAGGGATGACTATTGAATTAGAGATAAACTGAACTCAGGGAAAAGTTAGGACCACGAGGTACCTGAAAAATTCTAGATCTGAAACCTTACTCTTTCCTCCAGAAAAGAATCATTTTTTGGTCTGAAAGTTTGGTCTGAAAGTTTACATTCTTAAAAATTACTAAGGATCCCAAAGAGCTTTCATTTGTGTGGATTATATCTATTGATAATTATTGTACTAAAATTAAAACAGAATTGTTAAATGTTCTTTAATTCATAAAATGCCATTATATGTTAACATATTTCATTTTTAAATTTATATGCCCCCCAAAATAAGTGAGAAAAGTGGTGTTGTTTTACATTTTTTGCAAACATTTTAATGTCTGCTTGGTAGAAGACAGCTGGAGTCTCATATCTCTTTCTGCATCCAGTCTGTTGTGATGTATTGATTCAGGTATATGAAGAAAACCCAGACTCATACAGGTGTGTAGTTGAAAAAGAGGTATGCTCGCAGGTTCCTAGACAAGGTCTCAGGGACCCCTCACCCCAAGGGATCTCCAGACCACACTTTGGGAACTGCTGCTCTAAGCAGCATTGCCTCTGCCCACAATGTGCCCAAGACAGGATTGGAAAGATAATCATGGGCACCATCAACATAGCTATTTTCCCATTTTGTGAAGGAGGAAATGGAGGCCAAGATGTGTGTTCAACCCAAGTAAAACAGCAACTCCTTCACTTCTCAGAGAGCCAAACTGACCATGTGATTGGAGAGTTGGAACTTTCAGTCCCACACCCCTGATCTTTGGGGAGGACAAAGGAACTGGAGATTGAGATCACCAATGGCCCATGATTCATCAATCATGCCTTTGTCACGAAGCCTACATAAAAACCAGAAAGGACTGGAGGCCAGGAAAGGAGTTTGAAGAACTTCCAGGTTGCTGAACACTTGGAGATTTGGACCCAGAGAGAGTGAAAGCTCTGCACCCCTACCTGGTATCTTGCCCTATATATGCATCTCTCCTGTCTGGCAGTTCCTAAGTTATATCCTTTTATAATAATCTAGTAAGTAGAATGTTGTCTGAGTTCTGCAAGTCACTCTAGCAAATTAATTAAACAAAGAAAGTAGTAATTGGAATCTCCAATCTACAGCCATTCTATCAAAAGCATAGGTGACAGTTTGGGCTTGTAATTGGCATCTGAAGTGGGAGCGGGGGGCGGAGCGTAGTCTTATAGGACTGAGTCCATAACCTGTGGAATCTGACACTGTCTCCAGGTAGTTAGTGTCAGAATTGAGTAGAATTGTAGGACACCCAGCTGGTGTCGCAGACTTGCTTGGTGGTAGGAAAAAAACCCACACATTGGAATTGGGAGAAGAATCTTATCTTTGAACATTATCTGGGTCTTGGGGGACTGGGGAAGCTGCCGATAGAATTGTGACCTCATGGACACAGTCCCCTAGATCCTTAACTGATGTACTGCTAGGATTGAACATGTAAAATATATCATATTGGGGCAGCCCTTTCTTGGAACTTTGAACATTTATTAGTATAACTTGAGTTTTAAAAAATGAAAGTGGCTTGAGTGTCTCCAGCCCAGGTGTGCTCTTTTTATAATCTGTTATTCCACGATTTAGCCCCCTTGGCTTCCCAAAACTCACTCCTTCCAACTCCCCTGTAGTCACCTCCTGCTCTATTCTCTCTGGTTCTGTCTTTCCCAGGGGCAGAGGAAGGCTGTTCCCCACCCTCTGTAAAGAGGCCACCCACACTGGATCTGTATCATCATAAAGATAATAGCCCATTACCTTTAGATAACACTTCTCCAAAGCACTTTCAGACCATTATCTCTTGTTAAGCTGAGCTACAGCCCTGTGATGGAAGCAAGTACCTTATTATTCTTATCTATCTTCCATAGATAAACTGAGGCTCAAAGAGGTTGTGACTTTTCTGAGGTCGTACAGCCAGGACCCATACAGCTGGGACTTGTGCTCGGACTTCTGGCTGGCCATCCTATGCACTTTCTCCTGCACCTGCTGGCTTCCTGCATTAAAAAGAGGACAAGATGCTCCCTGGGCACCCATGCTTTATTGTCACATCTACTGAACTCATTGGTGGGTGAGCCGTATCCATTTCCTGAGCTCCTAAAACATGAGACAGAACATGTTCAAAAGGTGGTGCATAATTATAGATAACATATAGGCATTTAGGCTGAGTCAGGTGCTTTGCTAGGCCTTCAAGAGATCTTATCTCTAATACTCTTATCTGCCATAAAGGGATAGGTGTTATGCCTATTTACAGATGAGGAAGTAGCCTCAGAGAAGCTAGTTTGCGCAAGGTCACCTGCTGTATCTGGAAATTCTCTAGCCCCTCACTGTGGGGGTTGGAAACAGTGCACTGTGCACAGGGTTTGACATCAGACACGCCGTGGTTCAAGTACTGGCCTCTCCACCTGCCTGCTGTATGACCATGAGCTCTGAACATGTTCTCACATCTGAAAAATGAAAGAAGGAACCTCTCATTCAGAGAGTGCTCTCCAGGGGACTAAATATCAGGCCCACCCAAGGTCAGGCTGGTGGGAATGGTGGCTGGGCACCCAGCAGATCCAAGAAGGTGCCAATGGCCGTGAGGCTGGGAGAAGAGGGCCAGGTAGGAAAGCAGTGTGTGTGCCAGAGGGGACGGTGTTTCAACCTCAGCATTTTCTCCTTTGTTAGTCTGGTCAGGTGGTGCCAGCAAAAATCTGTAGTTGTAGATTTTGGAAAACAAGGTGTGGTTTCTTCAAAATTTCTTAGGCATAATAAAATCCTCCACTGAAGCCAATTTATTATCTGCCTGTTTATTACAATTCAACACCTTTGTGTCTGTCTGTCTGTTTGTCTGTCTGTGTCTCTCTTTCTCCACATCCCAGTATTTAGTAGAAGATTCTTTGTAGGGTACAGTCCTCCCTGTATGACCCCTGGCCTGCAAGGTGAAAGTGGGCAGTATGCTCAAGGCCATACCGCATGCCTCGGCATGTGCCTGAGTTTGGTAGCTTGAGCTCCAACCAGAGAGAGCACTTTAGAAATGAAAATGCACTGTCATCCCAACAGTGAATGGTGTGCGATGCTCTGTGCCAAGCCACAGCCCAGAGGCAAGGCACATGGTTTCCAGAGCTCTCGAGCCAAGAGTGAATGCTCACCAAGTTGAGACAGGTGCTCTGGCCCCAGGAGCTTTTGCCTTCTCTTGGGTGGAGCTGAGGGTTTCCAGAGGAATTCTTTACGATGACTGGGTGGGCCCTGTCGAGTGCAGAGTAGGAAACTCTGACTCGATGGCTGGAGATCTGATTCTCCACGCAGGCTCTGGACAAGCGACTTGGCTTTTGTCCATCAACTGGGTCATTTACTCAGCTCCTGGTACGACCCTGCTCTAGATTAAGGGGTGAACAAGGGCATAACTCCTGGAGCTTCCACCCAGCCATGGGATTCACCTGCCTTCATGACAACTCCTTGCGTCTAGTTCTTTGGCTGGATTTGAATGGGTTATTCATCCATCCACACTGAATTAGGTTCCGAAGCCCTGGGGTAACAGTAGCTGGCAGTGTGTATCAGATTGTGTCAACACCCTCTTCTCTGTGGCTTCCCCTTACTCCTGGAATCTGTTCTGGCCTCATCTCCTACCTTTCTTCCTCTCACTTAGTGTGTGCCTGTTCCTTAAATACAGACCATGTTCCCTCCTATCACAGGGCCTTTGCACACGCTACTCCCTTTGTCTGGTTGTTCACTGTGGTGACCAGACATTAAGGGGACCTACATGATCTTCACTTCCTGGTGTTCAGGTTCCTGAGTGGGGGTGGAACCTGTGACTTGCTTTTAACCAATAGAATATGGTGGAGGGGACAGAATATCACTCCTGTGATTATGTTATGTAAGACTCCATCTCACTAACAGACTCACTCTAGCTTCCCCCCATCCCACCGACATTGCTGGCTGTGAAAAAGCAAACTGTCATGAGTCCTGCAGTCACGAGGAAATGAATTCTGTCAACAAGCTGAGGGAGCCTGGAAGGGGACCCGCCCCCAGGTGCGCAGCCGCAGCCAGGCCTCCCTGGGAAAGTGCAGCCCCGCCTCACGCCTTGACTACAGCCGTGCAGAGCCTCCAGTGAAGTCGTTGCCGGACTCTCGACCACATCTGTAGATAATAAATGCATTGTTTTGAGATGATAAGTTTGTTGTTTAGAAAAAACTGTCAATTTGTTACTGTTTTTTATAGGCAACACAGAAAACTGCTATATTTCCTCATATCTGCCTCCTTGGCTCTTACCCCCTATCGTCCCCACCCTACTCAGACGAATTTTCTCGGGCAGCCTTCCCCGCCTTCTCTGCCAAGGCCCACCTCCTTGCGGGAGGCCTACATACCACTGTGTGCCTCATCTCCACGTGACCTTGTATCCTTGCCATTGTGATAATTTAATTCATATCTGCTCCTCCTCTAGACTGGGCATACCATGAAAGCAGTCCTCTGTTTCTCTCTGGGGACCAGCCTGGTGCCTGGCATAGGTGGGTGCTCAGCAAGTACCTGTTAAAGAAATAAATGATCGGTAGGACATTCAGGGTCAGGAGGAGTGCAGGAATAGATAGGGGCGGGATGTTCAATGGGTAGAGGTTAAAAGGACTTGGGGGATAATAATGCATTTGTAGTCCTAAACACTCACTTTTACTGTGACATATCTGAACAGCTGAAGCTAAGAGTGTATTCTGGGGCATCCGTGATGGGAATTACATGTGTTCATGCAGTTGTCACACCGGGCCACCCTGGGACTTGGTATGAGCGTTTTTTCTCTTGGAAACTCCAGACTCTTCCTCCTTCCAGAAGAACTTCTTGTAATTTGATCACCAGGCAACTATCCTAACAATATCCTTCCTATGAATTTTCACCTTCCTAGTCAGAGGTGGGAAAATGCAGGGGCAGAAGGGAGGGCTGTGGTTCAGTGGAGTGAGCTCCACCTTGGCAGTTCCCATAAAGTCCACAGAACATCAAAGTAGCCTGTCCTGGTAGAAGACAGACAAGGAGTACGTGGGTGCGACACCTGCATTACATCCCCCCAGACTCACCTGTTGAAACCCTAACCCCTGATGCAACTGTATATGGTGATGGGACCGTTAGGTATATAATTAAGGTTAAAAGAGTAAGGTAAGAGGTCATAAGAGAAGAGCCCTAATCCGATAGGGCTGGGCCCTCTGTAAGAAGAGGAAGAGGTACCAGAGATCTCTCTCACCCCATGAGGACACAGTGAGAAAGTGGCCATCTGCAAACCAGGAACAGAGACCTCACCCGAAACCAAATCACCGAGCACCTTCATCTTGAATTCCCCACCTCCAAAACTATGAGAAAATAAATGTCTGTGGTTGAAGCTCCCGGTCTGTGTATTTTGTTATGGTCACCTGGGCACATTAAGACATGGGGTTATCCAGAAGGCTCCACTGTGTGCTATAAAAACAAAGCTGAGGGACTTCAGAGTTTAGGCCTGTGTTGTCCTGTGTCCAACTGTGTCCCCTGAGTTTTTGATGTTAGAGTTTAAACATGCCCCAGTCTCTATAAGTTTATACATCCCTCCCTAGGTCCGACCTAAGGCCCTTCCGAGTTCTGGCCACGTTTTCCTCCTTCGGTTCCAGCCACGCTTCCTGAAGGAGTTGTCTGTACTCACTTGCTGATTGTTCTCTCATTCCCATTCATTCACTCTTCAGCCACTTTAGTTTGGTCTGTATTGCACAGAAGTTGCTTTGATGTCACGTTCAGTGGGTACTTTCTGGTCCTTATCTAACTGTTCTCTTTTTCTCGACCCTTTTTCCTCCCTTGCATTTCTAGACACTAGTCTCTTCTGTGCCTCAAGGTCCCTTCTGGCCCTCCTGCTGGCTCCCTCAGGTAAAGCAAGCCGCCACACTGAAGGGAGCTCAGTGGAAAGACCTGCAAGACAAAGACCGGAGGGAGGCCTCTTGCCCACAGCTTGCGAGGCCTTGGGGTATTGGTCCTCTGGCCCAGAAGAACTGAATCCTGCTAGTGACCAGTGAGTGACCTAAGCAGAGAATTCTTCCCAGCAAAGCCTCGAGAGACTGTGAGAAAATCAGAGCCAAAGGACCCAGTGAAGCCATGCCTAGATTCCTGACCAACATAAACCATGGTGCAGAAAATGTTTTTAGCCACTAAGTTTTGGATAATTTCTTATGCAGCCATTGATAACTAATACAGTCACTAAGTGGACTTCTCCACCTGCTAACAGTTAATGACTTATAAACTGAAAAACACTGATCTAGTTCTAGATGCAAGTACTGTGCTGGGCATCAAAGGGAGAGTCTGGGATGAATAAGACCTGCTCATTGTCTTCAAAGAGCTTTTCGTGTCTTTAGAGCATTTAAAAATTTAATGGGATGCATGTATTTCTAGGGCAGGAAGTTTGGGCTGTTCAAACAGGGTAGAAGGGAATGAGAGGTTCTGTCAGGCCGAGATGACGCCATTTGGTGAGCACTGAGGTGTCTTGATTGGGAGCCCTTAAAGGGAAAACATAGGCTTCACTGGAGGATCCAAAGGGGGTTGCACATCCAGAAAGGCTTGGAAGAGAGAAGATGATCCCATGAAGAACTCTGCCCAGGGGAAGGATAAAGTGGCCACAAATTGTATCTCATTTCCACTGTGGTTAGAGCCCGAGATCAGTAGGCCCATGTCTGGGAGGGATGTGCAGAATGGTGCCAGCTGTCCTGAGGATTAAACGAGTAAACGTGTACAATGCTTAGAACAGTACGTGATGCATACTAAGTGGCTATGTGTTGTTAGTGTTTTGTTATCGTCACCTAGTCCAAGCTCAAGACATGTTCATGAACAACTTTCAAATCACCAAACCCGATAGCCCTTCTCAGCCCTTCCCCCTTCCCCTCCACCCACAGGCCTTGATACTGATTCTAGCCATTGTTAGAGGGGAAGGGTCCCCCTCAGGGCTCTCAGTCATCAAACAGAGCTGCTCTCTCTGCTCATAGGACAGGGACCCTCCCACAAGGGCCCCAGGAGTTTATCTTTCTCAGTTAGGGGTAAACCCTCCAGGAAGCAGGCAGATGACAATTTCATCTTTTAAGAAGGGGTTCCCATCTGGCGGGCAGTTTGCAGGGCTTTCAGGCGTCAACAGGCCTGGGTGCAAAGCCCTGACAAACATCTAAGCCTCTTTTTCTTTTTTATAGGTGAATGGTATATGGCTTCCAGCTGAGGTGGCCGGACTTGGACCAGGGCCCTAAGGAGCCCAGGCCTCCGAAGATGCTCTGCATTTCTTTGGAGAAACCTGTCTGGACCAGCTGAGAATCCCTAAGGTGGCTTCCCCTTGCCCAGCTCTGTCTTTCTGAGCCCCTCCTTTGTTATTTTGAAACTGAAGGTGCCAATGGATATTTCGTAAGAGATAAAATTTTGCCAATTGGTTGTGTTCAATGAAATCTGTAAACATCATCATTGAAAAAACTCAGAACCGTCAATAAATATTTACTGAGCGCCCACTAGGAATTGTGGGAATATTTACTGAGCACTGCAATAGTTTGCAAAAGCAGCTTCAGTTCTCTACCCATCCCTACATCCATGGTCCTTGCAATGTGACTTTGATGTTCCTGCCATCAGAACATGGAAGCTATTTTCCCACCCTTGGACCTGGGTTGGGCTTGTGACTGGGTGTAGCCAATGCAACTATGGAAGTGACATAGTGCCAGTTTTGAGCCTAGACCTTAAGAGACCTTTCCTGATTCCACGCTTGCTATTGGAACTCTGAGCTTGATGTGAGCCAGCCTGGGCTAGCCTGCTGGTGGATGAGAGATGTGGCCCAGTTACCTCAGTTGACAGTCAGCCGCTCCCAGAAGCAGAGGCCTCTGGCTGCCTAGCCACTGACCCCAGGTGCATGTGGGAGTCCCGCTGAGGCCAGAACGACTGCCCAGCTGGACCCAACCTAAAATGCTGATCCATAAAAATCATGAAACAAGTAGTTATTGTTTTAAGCCACTTCTAAGTTTTGGGTTATCTTATTATGCAGGAGAAAAATTGCTGACTGATATAAGCACTTACTATGTGCCAAGCTCTGGTCTATTTGAATCAGGCAAGCCTGGGGAGAAAAGATGTGCAGAGATGGCATAATGAGGGCATGAAGCTGTAAGTGCTCTGGTGAAGCACACACACCAGGAATAGAAGAGGTGGCACCTGAGCTGGAGAGGAGTCCTGTCCTTGTGGAGTTGGAGGGGCCAGGGTGAAATTCCTGGGTGAGGGCACTGAGTAAGGTAAAGCATGGGTGTGGAGCACCCCAGACTGGGGCCATCAGTCAGTGGTATTTGCTGGGCCCTTACCACATGCACGGGGGCACTGTACTGGCTCTCTCAGGTCTGTGTATGGCCTAGCAGGAGGGGTAAGGCATCACTTGTGGACAATGGCCAGAAATTTAAGGCTGGGTTTGAGTGAAACAGAAGTAACAGGTTCTGATTTGTCTAGAGTAATAAGGATCTTGGCTTGGGCATAACAGGACTCGATCCGTTTATTATTTATATATGGTACCTGGTATGTGTGTTGCAGAGATACAGTGATGATGAGTTTGGGGAAAGGTTTCCAGAGTATTCCTGGGAAGGAGTCAGAAAACATGGCTGCTTTGGCAGCCTCATGAGTAATGACTGCTTGAGGGCAGGTCTGTGTCTGATTCATCTTGGTATACATACCCCAAGACACAGGACCTTGCCTACGCTTTTAAGTGTAGGCAAGGCATTCAGATTTTTTTCTTAAATGATGTGTGGGTGAGAGAGAGAGATCGAGAGATCAATTTGTTTTCCTACTTATTTATGCATTTATTAGTTGATTCTTGTATGTTCCCTGGCCAGGGATTGAACCTGCAACCTTGGCATATTGGGATGACACTCTGACCAACTGAACTACCTGGCCAGGTAGGCACTCAGTTTTTTTTTTTTTTTGGGGGGGGGTGGCATTCAGTTTTGAAAGACTTTCTTTTAGAAGACTTTCTTCTAATTGCCTTCCCTTTAGTTCTGCTCATCCAATTGTATTAGTTTTCTAGGACTGTTGAGAAAAATTGCCATAAGCTGTCTGGCTTAAAACAAGAGAAATGTATTCCCTCACTGTTCTGGAGGCTGGCAGCCTGCAACCAAGGCCTCGGCAGAGTTGCCTCCTTTTTGGATGCACTGAGGCAGAATCTGTTCCTTGCTTCTTCCCAGTAGGTGGTCCTCGATTTGTGGAAGCGTCACTGCAATCTCTGCCCCTACTGTCACATGACACGTCTCTGTCCATGTGTGTCACCAGTCACCCCCTACATGCTCCACTATGACCTTATCTTATATCTGCGCTGACCCTCTTTGCAAATAAAGTCATGTTCTTAGATACTTAGGGTTAAGACTTAAACCTAGCTTTTTTGGGGAGACACAATTCGACCCATAACATCCATCGAGCCCCAGGGGGACATGTCTTCCTTATCTCACTGCCCCAGTCCCGGAGACAGGATTGAATGGTCTTCCTTTGGGACTCCCACACATTTAATACTTGTCTCTCTTTACTAGAATATTTGACTCGTTGACCATCCTCACTGGTTGAGTCAGGGGCCTGATTTCGTTCATCTTCCTCACAGAGACTGCTAGTGGGCATATGGCGAGTCCTCCATAAATGAAGACCTGTGAAGCAGCTTCCCTTCCTGAGCTATCACGTTGGGCGACTTCGACATCCTCCCAACGACCCTTCGAAGTAGGTGTTTATATATTTAACTCCGATTTTACATTGGGACTTAGAGAGGTGAAGTAACTTAGGTGAAGCCAGAGTCATTGTCTCTAAAAACCTGAGTGGGCGCCTGAAGCTGTCACGTGAAAAGTTTCCTATTCCCCATCTTTGCATTTCTCAAGAGTACCCGGATCTGGCTAATTCAACTCAGCCTCAGTCCTGCGTTCCCGTCTACACCCCGGCCTCCCAGGCGTTTTCCCTCCAGAAGCCGCACACAAAGCGGATCCACCCACGAGGGCGCGCAGCCGCCCTTCCGCGCGCCGCTCCGGGGCGCGGCGTGAGGACACCCGCGCGCTGCTGAGTTGCGCGCGGCTCGGGCCGGCTGCCACCTCCCGCCCCGGAGCCCGTCCTGGCGCAGCGATTGGCCCGGCGGCCGAGCGCTCAGGGCCCGGGCCCGCAGGCCCCTCCCTGCCGGCTCCAACACCGCTACTGTTGCATGGGGCGCCGCCGGCGGCCGAGGGAGCGTGACTGCGCTGCGCAGGGCGCTAGGAGGCATTGTCGCCGTAAGTGGAGCAGAAAGCCGCCCGGATTGGGGCCCCAAGCTACACGCCCCGCAAAGTAAACGTAGTCTGAGGCTAATCGCTGGAGGGGCCGGGGGAGAGAGGGAGAGAAGTGTCCCCATTTCTGCAGCGTACCCTCCCCTCCCCCAGGTCACCTGGTGCAGAGCAGCGTTGCACCAACTGCGGCTTCTGCCGAGTCCAGGGGTCCAGCGCCACGCCGGCCCATGCTCTCGGACTGCAGCTGGACTGGGGCTGGTTCGGGGAAGGGGGCGCAGCGGTGTCAGGGAATGGGGGAGCTCGAGGAAGCAGTCCGGGGCGGGCCTCCATTCCCTGAGGGAGGCACGCCTGCGGCGACAAGCTGTTGTGTACTTCATTCCTGAAGTGACACTTTCGGTGTTTGCTTGTGCTCTGGGGAACTGCAGACACGTGCCCCAGGGTGTGCCTCTCTGCCTCCGGAAGACGCGGGAGTCCCCGGCCCTCTGTGATCGTAGCATTCCTTCCTCTGTCTGCTTTATTCTCTCCAGTCCCCGCCTGCGGAGAGAGCGGGCCGCGACGAGGTGCCATTGGCTGCGGGCGTCGGGGGGTGGGGTAGGCTGGTGAGGCGGGCCCCTTGCACCACGCAAGGGGACCCTCGCCTGGCCACCTTGCTCAGTCCTGGGAGGCACAGCCCGAGGAAGCTTAAATGTCTATAGGGAAGCACGCGCAGACGCTGTGAACCCCAGTGCATGGCTCAAAAACAAGGCGCCAGCCGGTTCTGCTCACTCCCCAGCGGGCTCCTTTCCCTTGGGTGGAAAACTGGGTCAACTGTGTTCTGGCTTCGAGTGGGCCTTCTGGGCTACTTGGGTCCCATCCAGCCCACCAGCTCTCACCTCCCCATCGGCTGTCCTATTGGTGTGGTCCAGGAGACCCGCCGGAGCCAACGTTGGGGGTGCTTGCACGCATGGTTCAGGAGGCTCGGGTTGCTCTTCCAAGCGGCTGCCAGGCTCTAAAGTTCCCGAGCGACTACACCAGTAACTAAATATAGGAGCAGCTGGTGTGGACGGGGTGTCGCAGCAGCTCCTTTGCACAGATCTTGGGGCTCAAGATAAGGTAGAGTTTTTACTGGTGTGGGCGGGAGCCATGGCAGGGGGCTACTGTCAGGGTTTGAGCAAAAATGTCCCCTCTCCCAGCCTCCCGTGCAGGTGAAATGAGGTTATAGATACAGGGGGGCATTGTTGCCAGCTCTCATAAGGCAGGGCACCTTTTTTTTTCCTGGCACCCAGTTTATTCTAATTTACTGTACCTGTTTAATAATCTATTGGTAATACCTTGTGTGGGAAGTGCTTAACAGTTTGCAAAAGACCTTTCTCAAAAGTATATGTCATTTACCATTTAAAACAACCCAGTGAGGAAGATGACATATTCATTTTACAAATAGGACTGCTCATAACACTGATAACTTTCCAAAACTTTGGTTGGTCTCATCTGCTGTCTTCGAAAATCTCTCCAGAGCTCCCTGCAGAGAAACAGAGGACAGATTTACAGAAGGGCTTTTAACACCCTTCCCCAGTAATCTGGGGACACACTGGCTGCCTGTCTTCCTCTTCTTTCATCATTTTGGGTACCTCTGCTCAGCCCCTCTCTCTGTTCCCTCCTCCCAGCCATGCCGTGTGCCTTCATGGCAGAGGGCACGCATACTCCTCGGGCCTGGCATCATTGCCCTGCTAGCGCCTGACTCATTCTGCCTCCTGTCGCTGAGTCTCTGTTACCCAACGGGATGCTTATTCTGGCCCATACCCTGTCTCTGTAGTTTTACTCCCCAAAAGAGTGTAGCTGTCAAGTCCTTGTAGAAGGTGCCCTGTAGATGTTTGTTGGACGTAAAGATTTGCTGCACGCTCTGAGGAAAGCGGAGCGGGGGTGTGTGGAGAGGGTTGTGTTGCTGGGACAGTACCAGTATGAGTATGAGTTTGGACCCTGTACATAAGGATCTCCAGGATTTGGAGTGCTTTTCTGGAAATTTCTAAGGTGTCTGGGAGCAGCTGAGGCCAGCAGAGCCATCAGATTTGGCTCCCCAAGGCCAGACCAGACCCGTGTGGGCTGCTGGTTCCTGTTTCTCCCCTTTGGGATGTTCTTTCTGCTACCAGCCCCTGCTTATGGGGTTGACCAGATGCCTCAAGGTTTTTTTGTTATTGTTGTTCCCTTCTCAAACCTGCCTTCTCTCTGGGCTCCTGTTACATGCTAAATAAATTCTTGCTTTTTATTTATTTATTTATTTGCCAGAGAAGCCCTGTGTTGGCTGAAAGAACGACTCAGTGAGGTTGGACCACTGTGTAGGAGCCCGTTTGGGGGCACAGTCTAGACTCCTATCATCCTAAGTTTGTTCTCCCCTCAGTTTTGGAGCCCTCCTACCCCATCTTGGGTCTTACACCTCATGTGGCCCCGCCACCCTCCTATCTCACAGCCCTGCCTGTGACAGAGTGACACAACTTCATCATCTGACCTGGAAGAGAGATTGTCAGCTGAACTTCGTGAAGGAACTCTCCCTTGGAGGGTGAAGTAGTTTTAGGTAGTTTTACAAGGGAGGGTGGTTTCCTAGCCAGTTGGTGAGGTCGGGCAGCCGGAACCTCTTGAGGGGCTATGGCATATCTGTGCTGTACCCTTGAACTTTCTCTGGAAAATAAGGGGCCCCTGCTCCTGGTGACTTGCTCTAACTTACAGACTTTACAGTTTGCTCCTGTTCCTGCTTCAATATCTATTCTCTGACCCATACAATAGGGTGTCGGAGCTTGCCAGCAATGGTGAGATTTTTAATGACTAGTTTTCATCAAGGGGTTCTACAGCCTAAGGCACACCCGCTCCCACCTGGTGGCAGCTAGAAGAATTGCAGGCATAGTCTCTGAAAGTTAATCAGTTTAGACAGTCCCACTAGGTTAGCATAGACCCTGGGCAGGTTGGAGATTTACCTTCTCTTTCTCCTCTGCTGAGGAGCCAGAATGGCCTCTGCGATGTTTCTTAGAAAGCTCTTCCTCATCGAATTCACGAGTCAGAGCTATTTCCTGTATTTCTTTCCTCTTCATTTTATGCTCTGTACCTAGTAGATGTTCAATACATGTTTATGATTTTTTTTAAATTGAGGAATTATATTTATTTATTTTATTTTTTAAAATATTTTATTTATTTGTCTTTAGAGGGGAAGGGAAGGAGAGAGGGAGAGAAACATCAATATATGGTTGCCTTTCGTGCGTCCCCTGCTGGGAACTGGCCTGCAGGGAACTGGTTTGCAACCCAGGCATGTGCCCTGACTGGGAATCGAACCGCGATTGTCTGGTTCTCAGGCCCGCGCTCAATCCACTGAGCTTCACCAGCCAGGCATGTTTATGATTTTTAATGATAAGTATTGGAGATGGGAAAAGGAGGGAGCATGGTATGGTAGGAAGACCTGGTTTAGGAGTTATAAGAGGCAGGTTTTTTTGTTTTCATCTATCTGATTTACCTCCCCTCTTTGGTCCTCAGGTTCCTTCCTTCCTTCCCTTTTCCCTTCTTTTTGTGAAGGGGTTCATAGACTAAGTCATGAAGATTCCAGCAACATTGCTGTGACTCAGGCTTGGGGGGATGTCTGACAGGTGGCATAGTGAAGGTGCTGGGTCTAGTGTGCAGTCGTTCTCACTATTCTCTACTGTCCTACCAAGGCTCACCTGCTGCAAATTGTCCACCTGGCACTGTTAGGCATTTGAATTTATGACCTTTCTCAATAAGACAGTGCCTTAGATTTGTTGTAAGAGTAAGTTGACTTGTATTTAGATTTGAAACTCAAATGACGGTTGTTGATCATCATCACCATTGGGGAATACTAGCGGGCATCTGTTTTCAGTGTATGGTATAAAGTGCAGGTGGAAAGCACAGTATAAATCTGCTTTCCTGCAGGTTAACTGAGGAGACAAATGTGTATAATTAAAAAGCTTATTAACAACCCAGTTGATTTATGCTAGGGCATCAAGTGCCTCTGATACTCAGAAGGAGAGAACACTGAGGGCTAGGGCAATCAGGGAAGACTTCCTGGAGGTGGAGAGATGAAAATTCTACTCATTCCTTAAAGATGAGTTCCACTGAGTTGTTTGTTCACATTCACATGGGAATGAAACTGGGATTAGATGCCTGCATGTGTATTGCCCTATCCTCTCAATTAGCATTTCTTGAGTACCTATGTGTCCTGGGCTCTGGCCTAGAAAGGTATATATATTTTGTTTAATCTTTGTATGAACCCAGTGAAATTATTATTAGATTTCTTCAGATGAAGGAAGGGACTCGGAGTAGTTAAGACACATTGCCAAGGCTTCTCAACTAATAAATAGCAGAGTTAGGCATTAAGCCTGTGTTCAAAAATCAGTCTTTTCCCACTGCACTGTGTGTTTCACACCTTTAATGTCGGCTTCCTTGGTGAGATGCACACACACAGTGAACTCACCCCTAACTCTCCCCTAAGCAGGTGGGTGGGCTTGGCCAGGCCCCAGCTCAGCCTTGGCTGCCCTGCCTGTCAAGCTGAGTACATGCCCAGCTCTGAGTTCTATCCTTACCCCCTTTTTTTCTGCCCCTCATGTTCTTCTGCCTTTGACCCTCAGGTTGAGTTAATTAGAGCTCCTTGAGCTGTGTGCAAACCTGGGATTAGATGGGGGTAAAGTGTGGCGTTGACCTTGGCCTCAAGTTCATTTTCTCTGAGGAGTGCTGCCACTGGTGATGCGGGTGATTGATAAAGAAGTGAGCACTGAAGGTGGAGGGGGGCTGAGCTGATTATTGCCACTTACTCACTCGGACCTTGGGCAGTCATTTAGTCCCTCTCTATGCCTCAGTTTCCTTCCCTATAATAAATGGAGTTGGCAGCATTGCTAGTGTTCCTTGTCTTTAACACCTTATAATTTTTTGTTGTGTTCTTCACCCTTTGTTAAGCCTCTTCTCTCTAGTAATTCAATTTCCTTTCTCTCATTTCCCTACCCTATCCCCCTTTTACCTTGGGGTCTTGCAGATAAATTCAGCATCAGGCTGACAAACAGGTCTGCAGGCTAAACAGGTGACTTTCCTCTGTGCTGATACCTGGGAAGGGAATTCTTAGAGACCACCAACCTGGCAGACTGCGAGCTCTGACCAGGCACACGGGAGGAGCCTGGCAGTGGTGGGTGGGGCAAACCGGGAGCTGGAGGAATTATCCTGGAGGGTGGTGGAGAGGGCACCAGTGCATAGGCTGTGGGGTGGAGGGACAAGTGTCCCTTCCTTGCAGTTGTCTGTGCCCCACCTCCTCCTGCTGCCTGCCTGTTAAGTGAATCACAGGCCAGCACACACCGGAGTTCTTATACCCCTGGCCCTGTGTCTGGTGAGGTCACATGTGTTGATCCTCTGAGG